TATGTGTTGTTGCCATGAAGAGCTACATTAAACTCCACGAGTTTTACCCCTTCTTTTCAGAGTCATTTATAAAAATCATCTCTGAGACTAGTTTGGATTTATTGGATAAATGTAATTCTTTTTTAAAATTTGAAATATAACTTTACATAATCACCATTATAAACAGTAGAATTGCTATCAATTGTTGTTAGTGTAGTTTCAATAATTTTGCAGAAATAAACATATGTATTTTAGGTTGGTATGTGTTATTTTTATTTATAGTGAATTATAGTTTTTTGGTATTTTATTGGACGTGGCATGCATGCCCAACCCCATCCATTCTATTTACAAACAGAAGTACTTTGAAATGAATGTGAAGCCAGAAGGACTCAGCAAATTTTGTTTTTGGAAGATCAAATTCATAGAGATTCCATGTTGATGATCTTTTCTTGGTAGCCCAAAGTTTTGTGTTCACAGTGATACTTTTTCCTATATCTTACTAACATGTCACCTTGAAAAAATTTTTTTGAAAAGTGCCACTTCAGGGCTTTTTTGCTGAGAAGAAACAACAGTTTTCCTCTGTTACCACTTTCCCCCTCCCAACTTTGCTCTGATCCATATTTTACAATTGTGAAAATTTGGGTTCAAAAGGATTAACTGAGTTCCTATAGACATTTCTAGGAAGAGAATGGGCTGAGATGAGACCTCAGCATTTTAACTTGAGAGCCCGTGCTGCAAGTTCCCTCTTGGGGAGGTTATAACATATACGAAACAGATGTGGATCAAAATAAAAGAATGGAAAAATAAATAGTAGTTAGGTTCCGAAGAGAGGCAACTTCATCTCCCCACCAGCTGTCAGATCACTTTCTGTGGGAAAATGCTTTTTAGGTTCCAACAGGATGTCAAGATCAACAACTTCCTTACTCCTCTGGAAACAGAGGCTTGTTGCATCATAACTAAACTGTCTCCACGTTTATTTGAAAGAGTTGCTTCCATTGGGCCACTAAATTATGGAAATATCAAGCATATAATATAGGTTAAGTACAAGGGAGATTACTGAAGTGTGTACTATAATTAGGGAACAGTTTATGAGAGACATTATTTTAGACCATCTGAGAAGCAGAAAGAGGAATTCAGTTTCCTTAAAGGGATTTCAGTTATGGGGTAAAAAGAATAGGCTTAGAGTTGGGACTAATTATAACAATAAAAGTTAACACTTACACACATTATTTATTTAATCCTCAGTCCATCATTTTGATGAAGACAAATGATTATCCTTATTTTATACAGTAGAGGCCCAGTGCATAAATTCATGCACGGGGGGAGGGAGGGTTGTCCCTTAGCCCAGCTTGCACCTTCTCCAATCTGGGACCCTTTCATAATCCAGGACTGCTGGCTCCCAACCGCTCACCTGCCTGCCTGCCAGCCTGATCACCCCCTAACCATTTCCGTGCCACCCTGATATATGCCTAACTGCTCCCCTGCCAGCCAATTGCCTTTAACTGCCCTCTCCTGCCGACCTGGTTACCTCCAACTACCCTCCCCTACTGGCCCAGTCAATCCTAACTGCCCTCCCCTGCCAGCCTAATTGTTCCTAACTGCCCTCCCCTGCTGGCCTGATCCCCCCCAACTGCCCTCCCCTGCAGACCTGGTCACCCCAACTGCCTGCCCCTGCTGGCCCAGTCACCCCTAATTGCCTGCCCCTGCTGGCCCAGTCACCCCTAACTGCCCTCCCCAGCTGGCCTGATCACCCATAACTACTCTCCCCTGTTGGCTATCTTGTGGCTGCCATCTTATGTCCACAGGGGGGCGGCCATCTTTGTATTGGAGTGATGGTCAATTTGCATATTTCCTCTTTATTAGTTTGCTCCAGATCAAACTAATGGCAAGCTGGAAGTCACCAGAGTGAGTTTGTAACCTCTGTGCTTATTTCTCTTGTTCCTCTTAACTTGGTTTGATTTGTGAAGCAACTTGACTTAATAAAATCAGAGAGTAATCAAGCCAACTTGACTTAATAAAATCAGAGAGTAATCAGAAATAGGTACAAAGTGTGGAGTCTTATTTTAAGGAACTTGAATGGTAAGTAAGTAAGTTAAGATTTAACCCGAGCTGAAGAAGAAAGCCTTGGAACAATCTGGAGCAGGAGAGTAACCTAATTATCAGGACTGCAAAGATTTCAGAAAGCCACATTGTCTGGTATTTCTGTCCTGCAATATCCCTGAGAGGTCAGGGTGATAACCCCAGTTGATGGTGAACTAAGGGAAGTCTAGTGAGGTCATCTATGCAGTCCAAATGCAGCCAGGTTGTAATCTGGGAGCCCAGGGTGAGATCAGACACTAAATGGGTCCGGGCTGCCTGTCACTAGTTGAGTCAGTTAAGCAGAGACAGGGTTGAGTCATGTATGAACATTTATTTTATTAATGCCAGAAGTATAGGAGAACTTTAGGTCATCCATGAAAGTCTTCTTTGCTTCCCTCCTCTCCCCTTTAAGCCAGCTGCTTATATTGGTAGAAGGACAAAGATTATATCCGGAAGGAAATAGGCAAAAGGAGTAACAATGGGAATGCAAAAGGAATAAAATTGGGTAAAATGGCTACAGATTATAGGCAATGCGGGCCGTGGGATTGCTAAAGGCAGGCAACCCCCGTTGTTTCAGCAACAAGGTTGTTAATCTTTTCATGATGATAGGCAATTCTCAGATAAGGAGAATGGACCGTATTTCCAGGTTAATACCCAGGTCCCAGGATGTACAATTCCCAGCCAGGTTAAAATGTGCTTTCTTTAATCAGAACAAAACAATCACGGTTAACAGAGCATGATTAATATTTCTTATAACTAGTCTCCACTGTTCCCTTTCTCCCTCCTGCCCCTAACAAAGGTTCACTCTCCTTTAGGAATTCATGCTGTGTCCCTTGAGTAACAGGGCTTATCCTGTGTATGCTTTGGTATATCTACACCAATAAAAGAGAAAAGTGCTAATTGACCATACCTTTGCTACACCCACAGCCAATCAGAGTGAGTATGCAAATTAACCCAACAAAGATGGCAGTTAATTTGCTGAGGGAGGGAGGAGTGAAGACTGATGACAGCATAGAAGGAAGAGGGAAGGAAAGCTTAAAGGAAGGCGGCTGCCGGAGGGAAAGCATGGGAGGGGCAGGCAGCGGGAGGGAAAACTGGGGGGTGGGGGTTTGGGGGCAAGGGGGCAGGAGAGGTGGCGGTGGCAGGAGGGAAGCCTGCTGGAAGCCCTGTTCTTGCAGGAATCTTCCTGCAACGGGCCCCTCGTATAAAAGTAAGGCATGATCTTGGTCTTTGAGAAGGTCAGGCCTATAGGGGAAACCGACATAAACAAAAAAATGCCCCTTGGAATAGAGTGGAATTGGAGCACATGTCCTCCCTTTCCTTCTCTCCGGGCCATGCCTTCCTTTCTTCCTCTCCTCTCTCTCTCTCTCTCTCTCTCTCTCTCTCTCTCTCTCTCTCTCTCTCTCTCTCTCGTTTGCTCCCCTGTTCTTGCCTGTTCTCAAGTGTGATGCTCTGTTCTGAAACAGTCCTCTTCAAAGTGCCAAAAAGACTCTTCCGGGCTTTCATATGTATTATTACTGTGTGCGTGTTTTTTTTAATGCATATTTCACTTTAATTTTCACTCTTATAGTATTGAAAACATTTTTTCATATTTAGGAAATAAGCAGTGGGCCAAATACAAATATTTACCTTAGCGATTTATTATTCTCCATTAAGCATATGTCTAGAAATGATTTGATTATATTCAAAGTTTTTGTGACTATAACTTTTAAAAAAATCAAATACACAGAAAATACTTTTGAAATTGGTTGGTATGGGGGGTTAAATTAAAACATAGCCTGCAACATTTTTTCAGAACTAGGACTTAAGCCAGAGTCTGGATACTACATATTTAATATTTAGTACATATTACTTCACAACTATAAATAATGTGAACATACAATATTTAAATTAGTTTAACTCAGAAATCATGTTGTAAATTAAAAAAAAAAAAATGTGTGGGCCCTGGTTGTTTTGCTCAGTGGTTAGAGTGGAGACTCATGCACTGAACCTGGGTTTCAGGTTTGATCTCTGGCCCTGGTCTGGGCTCATGTGGGAGGCAACCAGTTGATGTGTCTCTCTCACACTGCTGTTTTCCTCTCTTTCTCCTCCTCCTTTTCACTCTCTCTAAACATATCCTCTGGTGAGGATTAACAAAAAATAAAATAAATGTGCCAAATATTTGTATTCTAAAAATGTTTTTATCTCTGGTTGCTTCATTCAATTTTTCTGGACCATGTAACATTGATCATACACAAGAAAAAAAATCTGTGTCTTAAGACAAGCATTAGTGATGTTGTATTCTTATCAAAACAAATAAATGAAAAAGAAAACACAAAAGGAGGTGATGGGAATGTTTATTACCTTGACTGTGGTGATGGTAACATGAGCGAATAAATATGTCCCAACTCACCAAGGTTTATATGCTAAGTATGTACAGTTTTGTGGATGTGTTTTGTTTTGTTGTTTTTGCAAACTCAGTAAAAAAAAAAAAGAAAGAAAGAAAGAAAGAAAGGAAGGAAGGAAGAAAGGAAGAAAGAAAGAAGAGACTAACACTGTAGTATTTTAAAAACAGTCTTGGACAGTAACCAGATATTGAAAAGAAATGAATATTGTTTAAGGAAGGTTAATCTTTGAAGGACTGTCACAAATAAAGCCACTCAAATTCATAGACTAGATGAGGGTACTTCAAATAGATGATGGAACCACAATTATCCCAGAATGACTGCTGTTGACCTTGGAGTGTCTGTGTATGGGTTTTTTTGTTGTTGTGTGTTTTTTTAATCTCTCTAGTTTTTTTTTGTTTTGTTTTGTTTTTTTTCAAGAATAGAACCTTTAAAATAAAATGTTCTGAAATACAGTCTTTGGCAGTTTTACTCTGTACACTTAATCTCAAAAGAAAATCAGTTTACTGAGATAAAAATATGAAATTATTAACTGTTTTTCTTTTCTTTCTACTTCAGAGTGCCTATTGTTAAACCACAAGTGGCTAACTGGGAGCTTTCAGTAAAACTGAATGATGAAGTTCATACTGTTGTAGCATCAAACAATGGGAAAATGTTCTCGGTAAGTTTTCTTTCTTTTTGGGGGGTGGTGTAATTTTGAAATTATCTATGAATATTTGAAACAATTTTTTTAACTTCTGCAGTGACTTACATCTTTTGAATCTATACCATCTTTGTATTTGTTTCATCTTCTTTAGGAAGCTGAATGTAAATGGAAATTTTTTTTCTCTGATGGTAATTAGGAAATAGCATTTCTAGATTTAGTCGCATTTTAAATCCACCTCTTGACATCTGATTCATTTCTTCTTTTGTTATTGAGATACTTTTGGCTTTGTAATAGAGAAGAGTATCTTTAATTATAATTCCAAATACATGATAGCTGTGGTAGGTCACCATTCTTTTAAAATAATAATCTGAAGCCTCATATAACATTTTCTTGAGATTTCATGTTGTGAGACATTCTTGAGGCTAAATTTACCTTATGACATTCCTTTTGTTTTGAAGAACTTAAAACCGGAGGATGATATCCATGACAAAACTGCTTTAGTTTAATTCTTATCTGTACTAAATAATGTTACAATAAGATTTAGTGTTTGTACTGTGGTATAAGTAATATGCTTAAATTCTGTGTTTGAGATTGCCAGAAAAAACCATGAAGTTTCTATTTTAACTTGTGTCCTCTTTTAGTTTCAGCATGAACCCAGAAAGTACTATATAATTAGCACAATAAATATTATATTAATTTACATTTCTTTTCTCATGGCTAAGCTGCATTGAAATGTCATTTTGTTTTGGGGGGAAATGACTTTTTGTCAAAAGATTTAAACAGGATATGAAGATCATAATAATACAGTTTCACTGAAATAAGACCTGCTGAGGTTTTAGGTGCAGGGCAGTTTCTTGATCCCAGCTAAAAAAATGCCGGAAGTCAAGAATTAATGAGAATTCATTTATTCAACAAATACTTAGGCAAGACTGTACCGGCTGTGTGCTAGATAAGTGCTAAGCTGCTACACTGGAGAAGCTGTAGTCCTTACGTAGTTGCATCACAAGTAAATGAGGTTACTTCAAGAATTGGTTTTGTTTAAACTCTGTGACTCATTTTATACGCTAAAACTGTTAAAGCATTTGTTACTAAAAGATGTTTCACTCAACTCTCTTAAGATGAAAGCTGGGATGGAATTAAACAGTTGTCTTACGATATATTTTTGAGGAACTTATATGATTCTTTACATTCCTCCTTTCCATGTGATTATTTTAAAGAATAGTTTTGTAAGTGGACAATTAACCATCCATCAGGTTGAGTGGCAAATTATGTTGTGTGGTAGAGACTGCTACTATTATTATTATATATCATTTTCCTTTGGGAAAGTTAACGTTACAAAAAGGTAGACTTTAGCATAATTTGTGAGTCACCACCACTCTAGTGGTAACCACTGTAGTGGTGATCTGATATCCCAACACTGTATTATTCTAAGCCGTGCCTTGGCTTAATAAGAAAACTGCTCTGGTTACTTCTTTGAACTGTTATTTCTCTGTGCTTGTTTAAATTCCATGTCGGGAAACTAGAGGCCATTGGCCTGACAATTCAAGTGGTGTCTTTGAATTGTTACCTCCTGTTTCACTTTTTAGCTCATGAAGAAAGTAGAGCTGTTTTAAAAACATCAAAATTAATGCATGAAAAATTTTCCCGGGAAATACCTATCTTGTTATATAGTATCAAAATCTACTTCCCATATTTATTGGCTTATTATCAGAAGCATCAAACCTAATGAAAAGAGAGTACTCCTGATAGTATATTTCTTTTTTCCTAAAGCATATTTATTTATTATAAAGGGAGTCAAGTTGAATTGTGTGGAGTAAGGAAAGGCTCACTGGTATGAAGATTTTAATAGTGTAGAACCCCTGCTTTTAGCGTCTTAGAGGTGAGAACTGTGTCTATTTACTGGCTTTCTAGATTACCTACTGCCACAACCAAGAGAAAATGAATTAGCATAGAGGTGACAGTCTAGGCTAATGACCCCAGAGGTAGTCCAGGCAAAGTCATTTTTGCTTATTAGCCCACAATAATGCTTCAGATACCACATGTTTTCATACTTCCCTTATCTAATTAAAACATTTAGTTGTAAGATATATCAAATTAGGAAAGCATGATGAATATACAAATCTTCTACTGTGGTTTCCTATTAAAAAGAAAAAATATATAGATAACAGCTAAATCCCTTCTGTACATCATCCCATTTCCGCCCTCTTCCCTAGAGGTAAGAGCTATCGTAAAGGTGCTATCTATTGTTTCGTTACATGTCGACACTTTCATTATGTATATATGTACCATAATAATAGTGAAAAAGAAAATTGTGAAAACATAAGTACTGGATGATACCATTTATATAAGACTAAAAAAATACAAAAAACAATTCAATTTATAATAGCATAAAAAGAAGAAGATACTTAGAAATAAACTTAACTATGGAGGAGAAAAACTTTTACACTGGAAACTATATTACACTAGGAACTACAAAATTTTACTGAAAGAAATTAAAGAAGACTCATATAAATGGAAAGCCATTTTATGTTCATAGATGGGAAGACTTTTAATGTTGGTATGATGTCAATACTATCTAAAGTGATCTACAGATTTAGTGCAATCCTTATCAAAATCCCTTGGAGTTTTGCAGAAATATAAAAATCCATCCTGTGATTCATATGGAATCTCAAGGGATCCCAAATAGCCAAAACAATTTTGAAAAAGAACAAAGTTGGAGAGCTCATACTTCCTGATTTCAAAACTTAAAACAAAACTACAGTAATTAAAATAGTGTTGTACTGGCATAAGACAGATGCATAGACCAATGGAGTAGACTTGAAAGCGCAGAATTAAACCCTTCATTATATGGTCAAATGATTTTGATAGGAATGCCAAAGCCATTCAATGGGAAAGGCATCTTTTAAACAAATCGTACTACGAGATGGGGTGTGCTGGGCTGGGTGGAAAATGTATAAAACAATCAGTCAATAAAAATAAAATAAAACAGAGGTAAAATGAAGTTGGACCTTACCTCAAAGCAAATATAAAATTAACTAAACATGTATTAAAGACCTAAATGTACCTGGGAGGATGTGGAAGCAGGGTGGAGGGGGCTAATGGGGGAAACTGTGGGACATCTGTGATACTTTCAACAATAAAGATAATTTTTTTTTAAATAAGAGACTTAAATGTAAGAGCTAAAGCTATAAAACTTTTAGAGGGAAGCATGAGAAAAGCCTTATGACATTGGATTTGATGATCATTTACTGAATATGACATTAAAAGCAGAGTCAACAAAAGAAAAAAAAAGATAAATTAAACTACATCAAAATGTAAAACTTTTGTGCATCAAAGGACACAATCAACAGAGTAAAAATGCAATTCATGGAGTAGGAGAAAATAGCCTATATATAATAGTAAAAGCCTAATATGCTAAGTATCTAGTTGTCTGGTGACCAGTCAACTGTTCAACCAATCAAAGTGTAATATGCTAATGATATGCTAAGGCCGCTCAACCACTTGCTATGATGTGCACTGACCATCAAGGGGCAGATGCTCCATTCGGTACATTATCTTGATGCTGGGGTCTGACTGATAGGGACTGAGTGAAATAGGCTGGATACACCCTGGAGTCCTTCCTCGGCTCCTCCCCTGCCTGATCGTGCACTAGTAGGGTCCTTCAGCCTGGCCTGCACCCTCTTGCAATCCAGGACCGCTCAGGGAATGTTGGAGAGCTGGTTTCAGCCTAATCCCATAGGTAACTCCCTTTGGGAGGGTGCCTGAGGATGCCAGATGCAGGGTTCATGGCTGGCGAGCACTGTTGTGGCAACACAAGCCTCTTCTGATTGGGACTGATTGGGTGTGAGCCTGAGGCAGGCGCAATGGGCCGGGATGAGCAGGAGTGTCAGATAGGAGCTGTGGGCAGTGTTGGACTGTGGGTTTTGGCTCGATCCCCTCAGGCCACCCAGAGGGAACTTCACCTATGCACAAATTCGTGCAGTGGGCCTCTATTTTCTATATATCTGACAAGGAATATTATCCAGAATATATAAAGGATTCCAACAACTCAATAGCAAAACAAATAAACACACAACCTGTTTTAAAAGGACTTGAATAGATATTTTCCAAAGGAGATAGATATACAAATGGCCAATAAGCATAAGAAAAGGTGCCTGCATTTCCAGCCATCTCTCAGGACAGACAGAAACCCTGGTGCTTTTCACAGGCACCTTTCTCAGTTCTGATGCTCTGGGCCGGGAAGCCCAGTTTGGGGTTTAGAGCCCAGAATTCTCAGTGGGAATCACCCACAGCTGAAATATCCTTCTGGAACTTGAGCTGCTGTCTGTGGTAGCCCGGCCAGCCCTGTCATGCCTCCGCCCTTCCTACCACTCTTTATCCGGTCTCCACTTTCCAACCTTGATTTTCTTGCAATTTTAAATTACAGCATTTTCATTTTCCAATTTCAACTAAGTTATGTTTTGATAAAATTTATATTAAAAGTTAAATGGTAGAGATCCATTTCTTAAAAGGCAGTTCTGTGCAGCAAAACAACTATAATTAGTACAAATTAGGAAAATCACTTTGCAAGTAACATGTTATATGTAGAAAATCTTTTTTTTATTAATATATTTTATTGAGTTTGTACAGAGAAGAAGGGAGAGAGATAGAGAGTTAGAAACATCGATGAGAGAGAGTCATCGATCAGCTGCCTCTTGCACACCCCCTACTGGGGATGTGCCCGCAACCAAGGTACATGCCCTTGACCAGAATCGATCCCGGGACCCTTGAGTCCCCAAGCCGACACTCTATCCATTGAGCCAAACTGTTCTCGGCTATTTGTAGAAAATCTTAAGAAATTCACTGAGAAGTTATTACAATTATGAAAAGATTTAGCAGGAGTACAGGATACTAAATAAATAAATTCTATTTTTATTTACTTGCAGTAGAAAAAATTCAAAAATAAGATTATTAAAATTCCTTAAACAAGAGCATCAAAAGAATAAAATACTTAGAATAAATTTAACAAAGGAAGG